TTAATGGAATTCATAATGCTGAACTAGTACTAGTAGGAAAGTCTTCATTTATTTATTTACGAGATTGAGTGGATAAGTTATCGATGACAGTTTCAATAGCTATGTGAGCGATAAGCTTGGCTTTCAACTTTAACTGATTCAATTATGATTTTAACTATTCATTTTTATTGGATTTATAAAAGTTGTGATCATGTCGATAACAATTCGAATGTCTATCGATTAGGAGTTATCAGCATAACACAGATTATTTCCTAACAACGCAAGAAATACGTTTTATTATACTTATATAGAGAATGTAGTAAATAATTGTTAGTATTACAGACCCATCGATAGAATCAATTATCGATTGCAAACATAATCGACACTGCATTTTTCTACACTTATGTGAGACCAGATAGAACATTCCATTGACCCTGTTCAAAGTCAAAGGAAATCAGCTCTCATTAGTATAGATTACCGATAGATATTAACTTCAAGTCTTTATCGATAACTTTTGAGCAAACAACTTGTTTTCATAACACCATAAATGGTATATTTTAGATGCTATCTATCTTCTGTCCGTCTGTTATGCGATAAGCTACCTGTCAATTGTCAACACGCGAACAACTTCCGCAAGCACTCAATCATCCGGCAACGGCTTAAACAGCGGCTTTAGGTATTAGCCTTAAGCATCAGCATTTGCCACGAAAGTGAGATTCGACTTAAGAACGACTGCGGCTACTCCCCTAATTGAATTAATTAGCTGCAGCTATGCAAATGCGTCAACTTGTTGCACATTTATTTAACGATTTTTATTTGCCTTTAGATGCTTTGCTTACCTAACATATTCGCCAAGTGTCAACACAAACACAGCTTAACAAGCGCATTCATATACACAAACATGCGCATGTATCTATGTATGTATTCGTATGGGTATTCGTTCAAATGAGTATTCACATATATATATATATATGCGCTGGCCCATTATTCTTTAAACTGCGCCGCAATCTGACTGATCTCGATCTAGAGCTCTTTCGCTTTACTTACAGATTCCATTAGCTATAGCATATGTTACAGTTAGAGTTTATAGTTTATATAGTAACTATAACTATAAAGCGCTTAGTATGTTGTCTTTTCTAGGTCCAGTCTTCATCTCTTCCTTTTTCGATATCTTAATATATCCATTTATCTCTGTCTATCTCTCTATCTCTATGTCTCTCTCTCTCTATCTCTCTCTCACTCTCTCTCCTATTATTATTATCTTTCTACATCTCTCTTTTCAGCTCTTCCACTTCCATTTACATTATTCTCCCAATCTAAACAATCTTAAGTTCTCAAATTCTGTAAAATCTTCCCTACTTAAGTATAGGGTATCTGAGCTTCGGCTAGGCTAGCTCGATAAGTGCATTCTTGTGGCAGTTGTGGCTTTTGTTTGCACTCGTATTTCATTTTAGCAGCAGCAGCAGAGACGACGACGACGACGACGACGAAGGCAACGCCAACACACTCCAAAGCTGCTGCCAAGTAGACCATCAGACGCCAAACACTCCAACGCCAGCGAACAAGCAACAGCCAACGCGACAAGAGCAGTCAGCCAGTCAGCCAGTGGGACAGCTGGACAGGTGGGACAGTGGGACAGGTGGGACAGTTAGACAACGAGACAGTTGGACTGGCAAGAGCCGACAGTTGGGCTTGCAATTGCGCACAATTTTGATACGATACAGCACCACAAAGAGCACCACCAAGCACCACCGAGCAACACCGCGCAACACGCGGCAACACCACACACATAGACGGCGCGAGCTTCCAGTTGAAATAAATTGTTGCAAAATGCGGAACTCAAAATGCTCTCACAGCATATTGCTCTAGTATGAAAGTATAGATAAATATGAATGTGAATACGAATAGAAATGCGAATAGGAATATGAGGATAAAAATATGAATATGAATATGACCATTAATATGAATACGAATATGAATAGAAATATGAATAGGAATATGAATTTTTATATGAATATGAATAAGCATAAGAAACGGAATATGACTACGTATATAAAAGTAAATATGAATAAAAAGATGCATTTACAAATTAATATGATTATTAATATGAATATGATTATGATTGGGAATATGAGGATAAGAATCTGAATATTAATATGATAGTGAATATGAGTATGAATATGAATATGAATATAAAAGTAAATATGAATGTGAATATGAATATGAATATGAATATGAATATGAATATGAATATGAATATGAATATGAATATGAATATGAATGTGAATATGAATATGAATATGAATATGAATATGAATATGAATATGAATATGAACATCAATATGAATATGAATATGAATATGAATATGAATATGAATATGAATATGAATATGAATATTAACATGAATATGAATATGAATATGAATATGAATATGAATATGAATATGAATATGAATATGCATATGAATATGAATTTGAATATGAATATGAATATGAAAATTAATCTGAATGCGAATTATGCATTTTTAACTTATCCCTATTTAAAATCTCAATTCTCAAGCAATACTTTCTACGGCACGTATATGATATAATGCCTCGATCATGCAGATGATGCCTAGAGAACGTCTAAAGCACAAGGCCACTAAGTTTAACAAACAGACCTTTGGATATACAACACGCATATTTGGGAATCACAGTTCATCATGGAAAGCATATGCCCGCATCGTTAGGGTATGTAGCTACATAAAAATATAGCCGCCATGTGTTTTGCAGCTCATTTGTTTATTCAGTGCTTGATTCATTCACCTGCGCTCGCAGTTCGCAGTTCGCAGTTGGCCTCAAGTGCATTCAGCTTGACTGTATATATATATGAATATACATATATTTATGTATTATAAATATGTGTGAATCTATGTAGTATGTGGTGCTGTGGATTGACACCTGACATGGCTGCAGAGTTGCACAGCTGATAGTCGGTCGAGTGGCCTTATCTTAGGTCTGGCTTCGACTTGGAATTGAAAATCTGCTCCAGTTGTTTGCATATAAGTGTTTATATTAGATACGACTTGTATCTATATAATTATATAAGGCCCGATTTGGTTGGTCTGTGCAAAAACCACTTGCAGCAACGTGCCGTGCAGGCGTTGAATTATTAGAATGAATAAACATGTAGATGATTCATACACACTCATTCAACCGCCATCGGATCGATCGAGCGATCGATCGCACGATTTATGGCCATGTTGATAGGCAAATATCCGTTTCAGCGCAGCAACTAATCAAAATGTCGAAATGTGTACTATAGGGTTTACATGCTTATCGATTTCTGTGCTATGTAAATGTATCGATAAATCAATAGATTGTTAGAGAGCGTAAGAAGATATGACATCTGAGTGGATTAACAATAGATATAGATGCAATTCTAAATAGAGACTCGTTAAGCGCAGGTAATTTCAGAATGAGTACAATTTTTAAATATATAAATATCATTAAAGTGAATCGATAAATTACTAGATTGTCAGGGAATGTAAGGTGATATGACATGTAAATGGATGAGGATATAAGAAAATAGATAGAATAGATAAATAAAGTAATCAAAATATCAGAATGAGTAGTATACAAACACTTTGAATGGAATATATACCATAAAAATATATATCGATAAATCAATAGATTGCAACAGAGAGTGCAAAATGATATGATATATAAGTGGATTTAGAATAGATATTAATATATTTATATTAAGAGATATACTACGAGTGTCTAAGACCAGATATCAGATATCAATTTAAATATATCGATAAATCATGACTTTGCCAGCGAGTGTAAGATGATATATAACTAAATGATTCATAGACTCATTTGTAGATAAATACATATAGGGAAAGGGATTATTATTTTTTATTTATTTTTCAATTGCTAATTTATTGATATTACAATTATATTATGAATTAGGAATGAATAGATATAGAAATCTAAATCTAAATGTATATATAAATTGAAAGCATATCAAGTTGGCAGTCAAATAGACACAGGCCAAAGCAAAACCGGGTAGCAACGAGTTCTGAAAGCTAGACACTCTAGTAATTGGATTCCACTCCAACCGATCCGTAAATAAATCAATTTTTATAGATTAACATAATAACTGTTTATTATTTTATTGTATTCAGCGTATGCGTACAAATCGAATGTTGGATATGGTTTTTCGGTATGCTTTATAAGTAAGTAATTGTATGTATGTTTGTTTCAATATAATCACACTAAGTCTACTATCAGTCTACGTATGCATAAGGGATATACAATCATATATATGTGTATATGTATATAAATAGTTATATATAGGTGAGTGTTGTCTAAATCGAAATCAATTGAACTGAGGTGGGTTTCGCAATCAACTAAAACTAAAACTAGGCCAACTTCGTTTACAACCTGCGCATTTGCACTTATGATTCGTATTAAATAAGAAAACAATGCCTCGCTCAATATAAATATATATATATATATATATGAATATATATATATAATAAATTGTTTTTTAAATCATAATTGTTTCTAAAAAGTTCCCGTCTTGCCGCCAATGACACAATCACAAAAATAGGCCGCCCAGCCGACCCTAGCCGCCGCGCTTATAAAATAATACCCATACAGATTATGCATATAGTTTAAAACACATCACAAAAATCAATTTCTTCTTCTTGAAATTAGTTGAGTGTATATATAATATAAGATTTGGTTGCCACTACTTTCATAGAATACATAAATAATATACGTAATTGCCTATTAATCGATTCATATATCTTTCTATTGATATATATGTATATATGAATCTTGCAAGTGGCCTCTACTATATTCATAATCTATTAGTATATGTGCTATGTGTATATAATCCCTTTCGATCCGATACTCGCGTGTATATTTGCATCTGCCTAAGTAATTGCTATTGGTATTTTGGTCAGATCTTGTGGAAACACAGCTATACATGTATGCATGTCTGTCTGATATAGTTCTCCTCTTCTATCTTCTTCTACTTCTTTTCTCAGGGTGGGTTTAACTCATAGACAAAATTCTATTTGGACAGTCTCACAAACAGCTGGATTGATATTTCTATAAATGTTTAACTATTTTTTAAGCTTTTTTTCGAAAAGTTGCTTCATCAAAAATCAAAAAAGAGTTTATCAAAAGGTGTTGTTGTTGTTGTTGGGGGAACACTGTGGTCTATTGGTGGTAATCTACGTGCTTTTGGTGCTTCTCTTAGATATCATGTTTGTCGCTTAGACCCGTCGATTGCTTGGCTCCTGTTGCAGATTCACATTGTTCATCACGGCGTTCATGTCCACGACGACGGAATCATTCAATTGGCATTTGCCGGGCGACTCCAATTCCGTTTGCCCCTCCAGCAGGCCCACGTGATGGCCATTAGGCGTGCCAGCGGGTAGATCCTGCATCAATATATATTTTAAATATATGCCTCTGCCAGTTGTACACCTGTCTCACCTGATAATTGACAGCTGCAGCATCCAAGGCCATTAGCTCCTTGCGCGAAAGCTCCTCGACTACAGCGGCGGCATAGCAGTCCCCTAGCATATTGTTGGTGGTGCGTATGCGATCGCTGCAAAGTAAGCATATATAAATCTCTGCTCATGTGGAGAGTATAAGCTAAAAGTCTAAGCAGGCAGAGTTCCATTCCCATTGGAGCCATCGCTGTGTGTCGCTACTTACACAAACCAATCCACGGCAAAGAGCAGCGTCACATCCTGAACGGGTGCATCGATGGCGGTCAGGACAACTAGCAGCAGCACCAGCGCTGCGCTCGGCACGCTCGCCGAACTCATGGACGCCGCCGTGGAGGTCAGCAGTACGGTCAACAGCTCACCAAAGCCCAGCACCATGCCGCTCATCTGGGCAATGAAGATGGAGGCGACAGCTATGAAGAGGGCGGTGCCGTCCATGTTGATATTGCAGCCAATGGGCAGGACGAAGCGTGTGATGCGCGGATCAATGCGCAGCTTCTCGCTCATGCAGCGGAATGTCAGCGGCAGAGCGGCGGCGCTGCAGGCGTTGCCAGATCAGTTTTCACATGAGTTTCGAAACGATTTCAAATGCGTTTTCGATTGAGATTTTGTTGTTGTTTTCGATATGTGTTGTTGTTGTTGTTGTTATTGGTGAGTTTTGTGAGTTGCAAATCAAAAGAGTTTTTTCGAAAGAAAAAAATCAACGAATGGAAAATCAAATCGTTTGGAAACCAAAAAGAAGGAAAAATACTTGTAACACGTTAAACGTTCGCAACCAGACACAGAGAAAGAGAAGGGGTTTATATCTCTCAACAAGGAAAGATAGAGAGAGAGAGAGAGAGAGAGAGCAGAGAGTATAGATTTTAATGGCTTACGTTGATGCGGTAGCAAAGGCGGTTAGCATGGCCTCAATGAGGCCCTTGTAGAACTTGAAGGGGTTGCGTCGCACGAACACAAAGTAGATGAACTGCATCACAATCAGCTGATAGATGACCACACCGATAGCCACCGTTATGATGAACCACACCAGCTGGGCCATCACCAGGCTCAGATTATCGACACTCAGTATTTTGCCAGCGATGACCGAACTGATGCCCACCGGCGTTAGCCACATGACGCACGTCACCATCTTCATGATCACCTCAAATACGGCAGCAAAGAAGTCCACAACCACCTGACCCTTCTGCCCGATGGTGCCCAAGACGGTGCCAAAGACCAGACAAAAGAACACAATGCCCAGCGTATTGGTGCCGCTGCGATATTGCACATCCCTCACCATCACCACCGGCTCCATCTCTGGAATTTGTCGTTGCGCCTCCACACCGTTTACTAGTCCCACAGTCGTATCGTTCGCTGTATCATTAAAGCTATGTACAACGCTTGGCTTGGGCAGGTAGACAGTGTGCGCCTGCTGTATCGAGGCCTGGAATAGGTTGTCCGGGAATACGTTTCTGCAAGTATTCAAAATTTACAAAATAACGTATTTAAAGCAGTTGAAGCATTTAAAGCAGTTTTATTTCAATATAGACTTTCATTGCAGTTGTTACAAGCAGTGAAGCAGGCAGTTGTTGTAGGTAGTTAAATGTAAGCAGTTCAAAAAGCAGTCATACTTAACATTTGCCTATGTTAAGAGTCAATCAGCTAACATTATCACTGAAAATTTTATAGACAATTTTGGTTATGAATAATCCTGCAATAACATATAATTAAAGCCTTATACAAAAATATTTTGAGATACTTTTGAAACCTAGGCTTAAGATCTCTCATCATCAATCAGAAGAAGGAAATATATATTATACTGCAACAAAAACATAGAGACAAAATACAAAGCAAATATACTAATTTAACTTTCTAATTAAATATCATTACTATCTTTTTATAATTTGAATTTAAAACTGTTTAAATTATTAGTAATTAGCATTTTATGTCTGTTAGCTCTAACTGCACTGCTTGTCTCTTTCAATAATGTAAGCAGCGCATATTTACCCGTTTTGCACGCGTTTTCTTTAGGGCTGTTGCACTCACCTGCCCAAATCCAAAAGGCTGTCCAATAACTTAACCGCACGCCTATCCGACGCACGATCATCTGCATTGTGTAAGTCTGGATTTCCTGGATGAATAAGCAGTACAAGAGCAATGCCCAGCGCCGCATTGAACAACGAGGTAGTGGCGAAATAGACGAGCGTGCGCAGCGCGATTTTGCCATTCATCTTAGCATTGAGACTAGCCGAGCCGGCAATCAGGCTGGAGATAACCAATGGCAGTATCATGAGCTTCAGCACGCGCATGAACAGCTCGCCCGGATAAGAGATCAACATAATGGAGTCCTCATGCAAGTGCAACGGACGCAACGAGAGGCCTGTTGGAGAGCGGGACGGAGAGACAGATGAGAATGAAATTGGTATGCGTAAAATACAAATATATTATAAATCATTTTAATAACTTATTGTTTGCTGAATTATCTAGAAAAGAAAATTAAAAAAGCCTTAAAGTAATAAAAACTGAAGTGTGTAAATTATTCTTAGAACAATTCTGCAGCAAGCAGTGCAAGCAGTTATTACTCTGTTCAGCAAGTGCTTTAAGAGTATATAGGATTTTATACCTCGTCTTTAATTTTATTTTTAACTTTCACTTTAAATTTAAGCCATTTTCTAATTGTTTTTTTTTTTTATTTTTTAACTTAGGTCAAGTTTAAAAAATACTAAAAGCAAATTAAAAAAAAAAAAAACAATTAAATTGGAAGAAAAATTAATTTAATAAGAAAGAGAAATATCGTCAATAATATCAAATGGAATCTAAAATATTTCTAAAATTACTAAATATGCTTAATTTTTCGCACGGTGTATCAAAGAGGAAGGTAAATAGGATGGGGTTGCCCCTCCGCTGAGTTGTGCATTTCATTCCACTTACCCAAAATGACGCCCAACATGACGCCGGAGAGCGTGACAAGGAGCATCAGATTATCGCTCAGCCATTTGCGATAGCCTGTCAGCTCAAGGGGCGCATCGCTGCGCTCCGTGGTCTTCGGTGGCAGCTCTGTGCCGTGCACGGCTGCCGTCATATTCGGTGGACCCATTTTGGCGAAGAGGTAATCTGAAAATTTCCCAGATTTTTCCATTGTACAGGTCGAGCGTCGGCAATGGACAGCAGTCGCTGCAGCAAAAGCAACAACAAGGCGCGAGCGAGACAGCTATAGAAAATAGATGTTGACGCCAGCAGGAGGAGGAGGAGACGAGGAAGTCCTGTAACTCGTGAGTCTGTGTGTATGTGTGTGTGTGAGAGTGTGTGAATGCCTCGAACGAACTCTTACTTTAATATATATAAATATATATAAGGGTATATATATATATAGTGTGATGGATGACAATTGTCAGACTGTGCGCAAATTATTGATTTTTTAAGTACTTCACATTGAACTTGAGTATGTTAATTAAGTAAGCCATTTGGCTGGCTGGCTGCTCCCGTTGCCTGCTCCTCTTAGTGCTCCCCTTTTTGCAGCTCTCAGTGCAGCTCCTATCGATGTGGCGTCGTCTTTTTCAGCGTTAACGTTCGTGTTTTACTGTTGGCGGCGTCTCGGACAGCGCCTAGCACCAATTCTCGCTCGCTGAATGGCTCCGTTGTAGTGGTTTTGTGCTGGGCCGCTTTCCCTAGAATCGGACCAACTGCGTCCGTTTGGTCTTCGCCTGCTCTGCCCGTTGGCTGCCTCTCGAAATAATCGATAACGCCCGCTGCAGCTGCTTGTTGCAGTCTTCGATGTAGCTCTGTGGCTCTGTGGCTCCCTTCTCAATCGGTATCTGTGTCACACTTCAGAACACGTCGTAGCGCACTCACTCAACTGTGAATATGCATTCACAGTAGTTCGTTTGCGGCGGCTCAAGGCTCAAGGCTCGTTGGCTTTAACTGCTCTTTAAGTGCACAAACACTTCTTTGGCTTTCGTTTTCACTATGCACTTTTTCGTTACTGAGTTGCGTCTGGTGTGGCTGCTGCTGATTCCTCTTCGTCTTCTTTGCCTTTTCTCACTTCCGTTTCCGTTTCCGCTGCGCGAACCGTCGACTCGAAGCTAGCTCCAGTGAATGCGCGTCGTTTGGCCTGTCGCACGCTTTTATGCTTCGTCCTTGCTGAGAGCGAAGTTTCGTTTGCCATAATAATCCCTTGAAGCGTCAAGCACTCTCGCGCGCTCTCTCTCTCTCGCTGTGTCTTGCTCTCTCCCTCACTCGCTCCCACTCTATAGCTCTCTCGCTCTCGAATGCCGGCAGCAAAAATTGGGACACAGCGTTCCGGGGGCTTGGAGGCTTTTGATGAGGCAACACGCATTTGCAGCTCGTTTGATTGACATTCATAATTATCGTCAAGCGGAAAATTCCAAACTGAAGTCAGAACTACAATTGATTAGCTTTGAACCACCAACACAGAGCATAGAGGGTATTTGTGTGCCCACCACACAACTCTTTGTCATCCTACCTCAACAGCTGAGCGTTGGCCCTCAATTTAGTTGAGTCTATTTAATCGCCTTTTTATGGTCTTTCAGAGAGTTTTATTACTTCGTTACCCACTTGAAATAGACATTGACAGGCACCCATTTCTATATAGAGTATATATAGTGATATTATCTGCAGCATTACGATAAGCTGAGCTGATAAAGTTTAGCCTTGTGTGTCTGAAAACTGTTAACTGCGCCACGTAACTGTCGAGGCAGCAGACTCGAGCCTTGAACTAGTTTATATTTCAAGGTCCCTGTAAAACAAAACTTGTCAAATCAGAGGAGAGTCAAGTTAATTAAAATTATATATATACATACGATATATATAACATTTCTGATAGATTCACAAAGCTGCCAAAGTCAATGAGTCTCGGTGAGTGTATCTAAAATTCGAGCAATCACATGGCTAAGCTGTCGCTACTCGTTAATGCTATTTAACGATCCGGCTGTTGTTAGCAGTGGTGCAGTGGTGGTACAGTGCTGCCGGTGGTGCAGTTTGCCTGACTTGCCGCAAAGGTCACCCCGCTCATCGATCCGTTGGTGCGGCTCCTGTCAAGCTGTCACTTGGTTAAATCATGTGCCCAGTCATCGAGGAGCTGCATGCGCCTCCTTTCCACATTAACGTTTGGGCAGACGTCCAACAGTATAGGGCAGAATTCTATATACTCGTACCTATACCTATGCCTATACCTATACCAATACCTGTACAGTTATATGTCTGCAAATATATTTAACTTGCGGGTCGCATCGATCCGGTTGAATTTGGTTGTGGGGCCTATGTTCATGTGCCAACTACATGACGAACGTCTGCTTCTCCCGTCGATCCTCTGGCAAATAATTAAGATAATTGCGACAGTATCTATATATATACATATATATAGATTTGCATAGAAATATCTGCCATAGCCATCGGCTGTTTGCCACGCTTTGATATACATTTTGTCCGCTGTCAGAGGCGATTTATTAACGTGCATCTATCCATATCTATTTATGTGCCACGAACTTGAACTTGAACCTGACATTCGCTGCTGCACCTTTAGAGCGGGCGCCACACACAGATCCCTCGGCCGAACAGCCACCGAAAATGGTTGCCAATTCAATTAAGTTTGCTGTCGGTCCTAATTCGCGAATTTATAGATACACTTAAAGTATTGCCGTTAAGCACGATAAGTTCTGCGTGTCCCTGCCGAAGGTCATTTACGGACTACCCCTACTTAACTGCAACACTTTCGTCCCTCAGTGTGAGCTGGCGTGTTCTCCTCATAATTGCTTTCAAGTCGTCGTTCTCGAATTATAGCTGTCCTGTTTTTCCTTAGCTTCGAATAAGTTGTTAATGTACTCAGCTCTTATCTTTAGCCTGTCTCTTCGATCGCAACACTAGCCAACAAAATTACTAATGAACAGCTCTGATGTAAGATGTATAAGAAAAAAAAACTAGAGCCATATTTATTTCTATGGTTAGCTGACTATAGGTATTTAAACTATTTTTAAAATATATTTAGGTTTAAAAATTATTTTCAATATTTTTAAGTTAAGTTCAATATTTTAAGTTTTTCAGTTTTTTTTTAATTTTTTTAGCTTTTTTTTACATTTATTTTAATTTTTGCAAAATTTTATTTCAAATTATTTTTAATTCTTTTTTGTTTTTATTTTTTAAAATCTTTTCTTTAATTGTTTTTTTTTTAAATATATTTTCAAATTTTTTTATTTAAAATTTTTTTCTTGGCTGCGCTAGTTAGATTTGAATATCTAATCAAATATGCATACGAAATTATAGAGCATAAATTTGCAAGGAACACCTCCCAAGAGCTCACTGCAAACTCTTATGATAAATAAGCATAAAATATGAATTGTATTCTTCACTATATTCGGAAATGTTTTTCGTAGAGAAGAAATAAATGTGTCTGCCGCTTGGCATTCAGCATTTGTGTAAACATGTGTTATTTATTAATGAGCTTTTAATAACTATATTTAGTCGCTTAATTTCGGGTGTTGTCGTTGGTTGTTGCTTTTGCTGCGGCACTGGCAGTTTGGACATGTTTGTTGCCGGACTTGGACTTACCTCTAATTATAAGCCAAAAGTTACCCAGTTTTATGCTGGTTATTAGCACGCTTGCACTCTGGCTTTTAGCTTTACACTTGACTTTCGACTCCCTCTCTCGCTTTCTCTCTCGCTCTTAAACTCTCACACTTGCACGCTCACTCACTTTCACTTTGAATTCGCTTGTCCGACGGGGCTACGGGGCGTATGCTTAACGTTTTGCCAATGCAGTCACTTGATGGAATTTTCGCAGCAGTTTTAGCTGCTGTTGCATCAACAATTGTAGAATGCGTTGCACCGCTGTAGCCGTTTTAGTGGTTTGCCTTCAACCTGCAGGTTAAGTTGGGTGGTTCAATAGGTGATTCGGATGGTTCAGGCTTGGACAAGGTCAATTGACTAGGGCGCAAAGTGCCGCCCTTTGCCTTTGACACTGCACAAATTCAATTATGTCAGGTGGCGGAGTGGGCCACCGGGAAACCGGGCAAAAAACAGGGGCTAACCAGAGGTAACCAGAGCAATGCAATCACGATGCAAGCAGCCAAAGAACCAAAACAACAACAGCAAAGAGCTTAATTTGTATTTCGTTTTTGTGCCACGTCTGCTCTGCTCTGTGCACCTGGGTATTATGAGTTACGTATGCACTACATCTACAACTTCCGCGCGCCTGTTTTCTTTTTTTTTACCTCACGTCAAGCTCAACACAGAACAGGAAACAACGCGCTCGCTTCGCTCCACAAATTGAAGCACTCGAAACGCGAACGATTTGGAAACTGCGTCAAGAACGGCGCAGGGATTGCTTTTAAACCAGACGATCGCTAATATATAGCTTAGTTATACATATATACATATATACTATATATGTTTGGCAAGTGATTGCAACTGCGATTTGTTGGACGATGCGTCGACGCGTTGGGCCCGACTCTTGAATGAGTAGTGAGCGATAAAAGTTTTCTTTTGGGCAGCTGCACAAATTCAACAAGAAACAAAAAGAAAATTCTATTCTACATTTCTTTGGCTTTGTTTTGCTCACACACACGAGCACCGAGACAGACAGAAAGACCGACGGACATTTACATACGTTTTCATTTATAGACCTGCTAATGGGCATTTGCATTTTGTCGCAGAATGTGTGACGCACTGAAGCTAGTCATTAATGATTGCAATTTAGTATATATGTCCCAATAAAAGAGCTGAATAAGCCAATAAAGTGAATTGATTGCCTTTTAATTAGAACAAATTGCTCAAAATTTTATGAACAAGTTTCTACTTTAAAATTTAAAATTACCTACGAAGGCAAATAGAAATTGTGCAATTCGAAATATTTGCCAACTAGAAACTCTGCACATGCAACTATTTTCCTTATTATCCGATTTACAAATTTATAAAAATTTTATATATTTATTTTATTTATATTTTTAAACATTTTTTAACGTACTTAAAATTAGCTTAGCTAGAATTTGATAAAAACATAAATAGAAAATCGTATACATTATATTTTTTAATAATTTTTCACTGCAGTTAACACTCTTTTAAAATATTTTCATGCAATTATTATAGTTAAAATAACTATAGTTAAAATAAAGTAAAGTAAGTTTTCTGGAGTTCAAGGATGCAAAGATGCATCAGATATATAATAATAAATAATACAATAATTACAATTAATTAACTACAAATGAGAGGGAATAAAAATTCCCTTTGGAAACTGCTCTGGAATATATTTCAATTACATTAGAGGTTATTCTAAAATTAAATTAATATATTAAATTAATCTCTATTGATATCAAGGTGTAATAAATATATGGTGCAATGCATAAATATATGTATTTCTCTAACTCCAAATTAAAAAGGTGCATTAGCATGTTTGGAATAGCAAGGGACTTAGTTCTGACAAGTTGGCCTTCAAGTAGAATAAAATATTTAAATATTCTCTTTTTTGTCATAATGAGAATCTTATCTATATTAAACCCAAAAAATCAATATTTTATTGGCTTTACCTATACTCCACCTCCTTTATGATATACAAAAAACTAGTCATTAGAACAAACCATCAAAGGTCAACAATTTTATGTAATAATCTCATATAATGTATTTGTGCTTCGGCTTTTAAAAATCAATTCTTTTTAGTCAATTTTCATTTTTAATTTCTCTGAGGGTCTAAGGCTTGACAATAGCGCAGGCCGGGGATTGGGTTGGACGTAAACATGTAATGACGTGCACGCGAATAACGTCAAAGGGTCCATAAACAATGCATTTGGCAGCCCATTCCACCTGCCCCTGGGCAGACTGGGCCTAACTGGCCATATGCCCAGACACCCGATCAAGCGACAATTGCTTAATGCAGTTTGACACACTTTAAGATAAAAGTGCTGCAAAAAATGAACAGCGACAAAGTCAAAAAACAGTAGCAGAGAGATATAGGCAGAGATCTCAACACGAGATCGCATCACGCTATAATTTCCATTTAAATGCAATTTATGCTAAGCAAATTGGAAAATTGTTTTTCCGAGCGCTCATCGACTCAATGCGCAAGTGGAAAATTGTGTCCGAAAGGTGTGTGAATAATGATGATAAATGGGAATGGCCGTCATAAAGCATACGCCTCGTGCAGCCGCCCGCGCATTACAGCAAAGAAGAAAAACAAATAAACAATTTAGCGCTTTGTAATAGCGCACATATATGTCATATATGCTCTATGAGCAAAGAAAATATCAAACAAAAAAAATATATATGTGATATATGGAAACTTTGACAAACATTTCTGCTTAGGTCATTCTCAAGTTTGTACACTATGCTTATGCTCATTGCACGTCTTATTTTGGAGTTCGTTTTTAGTTAATATAAACTAACTTAGCTGATTGACCAAGTGACTAATTAGCAGACTGATTAAAGCCAACTAAAACAGACCTGGCCAAAAGAGTTTGGTTTTTAACAAAGTTTTACCTAATCATCTTACAGCAGAGCATCTGGCAGTCCAATATATTTATCAGCGCTATTCCAACTTATTTGCATTTGTCTATATAATTATTACGTATGTATTATATGTATATGAGACCAAGGCGGCCCCCAATCCGAAGGGGTGCGCCAACAGATTATAAAAATAAATCAGTCAGCGCACAGAGAAAGACAGGCAGACAATATGTATGCGAGTGAGACAGAGAGATAAAGGGAGAGAGAGAGAGCGGGCGAGAAAGAGTGAGGTAGCAAGGTGCATCGGGCAATTTGCATAAGTTATGAGCACGCAAATTGCGTGATGAGCCCAAAAAATAAAACAACAAAAAATAAATAGATAAATCGTGTAGTGAGGTAGGCAGGCGATGTGTACGTCAGTTAGTCAATTAGCCGATATAGTTAGCCGATTGAACGGTTGGCTGACTTGCATAAGCCACGACTGCCGTCAAAAGCCAATTAGGGGTCAGTTCTAAAAATTGCACTCCAAACGCAACGAAAGGCCAAGTCACGCGCAGCTGGCGCATCCTCAATTCGAAGGGGGACATTGCACGGGCGAGTAGGAGCTGAGGAAGTGAGCTGCACCTGACCCACTCAGCGTGCGCGTTGTAGCGCTCTGTGGCTGTCCCCCTTTCTTGAATACCCTGTATGGGGCAGGGCTAATAGGTGGGTCTAATGGGTTCGATGTTCCATAATGACAGATGCGTTTACAGAGCGTAAGAATCTTTTAGGTGCTTCGGTAATACAGGCAAAATTTATCCAGAAAGAACATTTTCAAATGAGTTCAATCAAAGAGCGGCAGCTGGAGCAAGAAGCAGCAGATTAGATCAAGCAAAGAAATCTGAGTAGTCTATGTCTAAGTCTAAGTAACATAATATTAAATAAATAATAGCAAGCCTGAATGTATATAACAAACAGCTTGGGTACTAGGTATTTGCTCGTCGAGCCCATTCAGCTGTCGTGCTCTTGTGTTGTTGTGGGCTATTCACGATGAGCACACGCAAGAGGCGGCGCACAGCCGAGCAGTACAATGACACCGAGCAGCTGTCTTTGTTTACGACCCATCTCTTTCTGGCGCTGAGACGGACAATCTGATACGAGCTGGCACCGCCGAGTGCGTCCATTCAGTTTCAATTTTGGCTTCGTTTTGTTTACGATGCATCCCTTTCGCACTTGCAGCCAAATGCTTCTCGCTCGCACAGTTTCGACTGCTCCAAGCTCATGCGCACTGTTTGCGCCTCCTTATGGCAGTGGGGCCCAAAAGCTAGACGAGCTATTTATGGCAGCGGATTTGCCAATTATGGCAGCTGCTGCCATACACTTGGGTGCTTGTCGCTGCTGACCAAAAGCTGCCGCTGCACAGGGTGGTTCGTGTTGGCCCTGGCAACAGCTGTGCTTTGTTTACAGCCGGCGCGAGAAGCTCGTTTTCTCTCTTTCGCCGTCAAATTGAAAGCAATTTGTTTCAATCGGATGCTGAGCGGGCCTATAAAAGCAGCTAAGACAACGGAAGGCAAAAGCAGTACGCGTTTTAACGCCGTGTCAGCAGCGACTACGGCAGGACAATTTGTTGCCAGTGAATCCGTATATGGACTGGCTCTAACTAAATCAAGTGCGAATGTGCGTAACCAAATCAATGCCAAAGCCCAAAGTCAAAGACCAACACAAGCGTCAATCAATGTGGCAATCGAGTTAAAACTGCAGCAGCTGCCGAGCCGAGCCCGCCGTCAACAAATCCAATCAGCTTCAATTTGTTGGCCAACATTCAACGCATACATTTCGATTGTGGCCCAAAAGAGAAACCGTTTTGCTGGCTTACTAATTTAATAAACCGCCGACCAGGCTGCCGACAAAAAGAAAAAACTGTAATGAAACAAAATGAATAAGCCAAAGAATTAAATTTTACGAAATATTTTATGCAATTAGCAAGAAAAGCGCCAAGCAAAAACAAAAAAATAAAATTAATAAAAGATGATGAAACCTTCGCTTAATTAATTATTAAAATATTTATAAGTTGCGGATATCCCCTTGAAAGCTATACGGATTGCTGATAATATATGCAAGCTGATAGCCTTAAAGACCTTAAATTATGCGAATCTTTATCAATATCAACGCGCCGTGAGTGTCAAGCGAACTCAGAGCTGAGTGCAAACTTGATGAAACTTGACTAAGATGTTGCCCTTTTGCCTAAGGTAGTATGTACGTTGAAGCTGAATTGATTTGATTGCCAATTGAATATTGAGTATTTTGTGAATTATTAAATTTTTGAATATATTTTTCTTTTAGTAGTTTCTGATTGGAATTCTTTACATATATTAGTAAATTTATTTCTATTTACTAAAGTTTTTCATTTTGAATAAATAAATTAATATAATAATTAAATAAATTTAAAAAAATTATTATTTTCCTAAGTAGACTCTGCTCAGAGTTAATTATATAATATAAAATTTATTTTCATATTATGGCGAAAAAAAAATATTATTATTTGTCATATTCGAAAATTCTTTAGATATTTATCGTAATATATTAAATATTATTTATTACATACATTCAGATATGTGACTAAGAAAACTTCAATATAAATATATATACACATTAAAACGTCTTTTCTATAAAGTTTTCCGTTTATTTTTAACTTAAGTTTGAAAGTTCTTGTTATTATAATATGTTGCATATGATATTTATGCTATAAGAACTAATTGAATGAGAGATCTCATAGCATCATTATTCATCATTATCATTATCAGTATCTATTTACTATATTTAACTATTATAAGTACATTATACCAAGTTAAACTAACAATATACTACTAATAAAACCTACTATGTAAATAGTACGTACTGATCATGAAAGGATAATTAGCTATAATTGGCTACCTGCTACTATACTACAGGGTGGAGTAAATCAAATCATCCGATATTTTATTGCTGTAAATTT